AGACTTGATATATAATAATAAGTACATTTTCAAAATCTTCATTTGTGGGTGAACTGTCCCTGTAAATATGTCACTTCTGAATCATCTAAACAACTCTAATCTGTGTTCCAATTTAGAGGATTACACACCCCCTATAGAGAGATTAACAGAGCTGAAAACTTTTGAGCCATTGCTTCCCCTTGCTGGATACACATGAAGCCCTGGGAGTTTAACTTCAGATGACAAATGACACAGAGGGAACACGGCAAAGCTGTCGGTAAGATGTTCACGCCACATCAGTCAACCTAGAGGTTCAGAGGGGAGAAATAAGACATTGGGTTGATCTGTATGGTGGAGCGCATGCAAAGTTTGAGGGAAGAAGAACAAAGTTTGTATTCTGATTGAGGTGCTGCATCCCAAGTCAGTTCAGGACATCTTTACATACTCAGTGAGGCTTTACGTGCATGAGTGTAAACAAAGTAGATTCACTGAGTGTGTGTGTCATACAGGATATTTTGTCTGTGTTTATTTACACAAAATGATTGAGAAAAAATTATTCAAGAAATTAAACTGACAGCTAAATGGAAAGAAAAAAAATGGATGGGAATTTTTAATTATGATAATGTATAATTTAACTGGTTAAATGCATCTTGACTGAGAAGACTTAGATTTAAGATGTTGTTTTTTCTTTGTTTTCTGAAATTACATTATGAAAGATTTTATTCTGGCACATTGTACACTCTAAAAATATGTATACATATTTTAAACGGTGACTTTCATAACAATGCTATTTTCTTTGGTTCTAAATGGTTCTTCCAGAGTTCTAATAATATTTTTCAGATTGGGAAGTAGAGCTGTAGAGTTAGGACACAAATTGCTATGAGAGTCACTTCATAGGTTTCTCACTATTTCAATTAAACTATAGAAATATTTATAGCACGGGTGCCCAAACTTTTTCTTATGAAGGGCCAAATACCAAAATTGATTGAGGCTAGTAGGCCGAAAGTAAATATAGTTGCCATTGGTAATTTACTAATTTATTTAATAATATATAAACAAGCAAACTGAATGTTTACATTAAATCAAATTATAAATGGCAATCTCTTTTAAAGGCATTCGCCCTAACCCTCTGCATTCTTCTCACTCTCTTCTCAGATGGGATGCTGGGCCAAATCAAAGGTTACAATGGGCTAACTTTGGCCTGCAGGCCCTATTTTGGGCATCTCTTGTTTATATTGTATAAATACTATTGTCAAATACAGCGGAAATTTAAAGACCTTTATGACAAACTTCAACAATGAAAATCAGTTTCACTCTAAATAATTAAGACTAAAAAATCCCAATATTTTAGTCTAAACTGAAATAATAATAATACTGCTACTACTAATAATAATAGTATTTATTTATTTTTTACTTATTTGCGCTCTCACTTAATTACTTACCTATAATTAAAAAATAGGTCATTTACTATATAGCCGAAATATTGATTTAACCAGGTTGTATTCTGTTTAAAAAAGTCCAAATCATTTTTCATAATGTTTATGTATAATTTGCTGCATAGTGTCTTATTGAATAAAAAGATAAAAAATGTAGTGTTTTATTGTAAATATTGTAAAAATAATGTTTAAGCTTGAAGCTAAAGCTTTATTAATTCAATGGTTATACACCAGTTTGATAGACAAATGGTAGTAAATATAAAAAAAAATCCATGCATGCATCCATATATGGGGAACATAAAATAGATTTCATTAAAAACCTAAATTAAACCCTAAATTAAATGTTAAGCTTACTCTGTGTAGCTTAATTACAAACATGTTTATAATTATAGAACAATTATAATTTTATAAATTAGATCTGTTAGAGTTAAAGAAAGTTATATTTTCATGTATTCTCAAGGTTTAACAAACACGTGCAAAGCATTTCCTTCCACATTTATGGTAAATTAATATTAATAATAAAAAAAAATTAAACACAAAAAAACATTTCATAACATTAAAGTATCTTTGGCAAATGTTATGCTTTCTTATATCAAATTTATATTCACCCAAAAAATACACATTTACTCCCCTTAAAATGTATTCCACATTTGCTCAACTTTTGAACACAAAAGAAGATTGCCGAAAACAATTCTGAATGCCATTGACATCCCTGGGACAATAAAAACGAAATTCTATGGATGTCAATGGCTACCAGTTTCCAACATTCTTCAACATATCTTCTTTTGTGCTCAACAGAAGAAAGGAACTCAAACTGCTCTGGAAGTGGACGGTTTCAAATGTTTTTTTTTCTTCCTCTTTGCAGGTCAAAACGTTCAGTTGTTTTCAAATGGCATGCGTAATGGTAGGCAGGGTGTAAAAGGGTGGGCAGGAGGTGGAGTCTCAGTCGGCATCTGGCGTCTGTAAGTAAGAGGCTGATAAGTGGCTCAGCTCTGCTCCCCGGCTCTCATAACATGCTTGTGTCTGCATTTGGCTCGTCCCCGTCTCTTAATGATGGCATCCCGAAGCCTGACACCCCAAACCTACCATTCCATCTGCCTGCTTAGCATTTCCCCTCAATACATAATTAGCAGCACTATTTCAGTCACAGGGATTCCCAACTGTGACTGTTCCTCTATTGCTCTCTATAGTTCTCTTCCCTTGTTAACTACACCATGATTAGATGATTTGTCACTTCGTGGACTATTCGATTTAAGCATTTAAGTGACATATTACAGACATCTTTTAATACTGATGTGAGTCTTTTCTCTCTCATGCTCTTTAGCCTGTGATTGGAAATTCTGTTTGAGAAAGGCTTTGTGATGCTTTATAATGTTAATGTCAGTGAATACTGTCTCTCACATGTGCTGGAGGTAATTGTCACTCAACCAGAACTAGTTTATTCACTGAGAGTTCTGTAACATGGATCTGTTGAAGTTTTGGGGTATTCAGTGTTACATTATGACCTTTTTGAACTATACTAAGTAGTGTAAGTGTCTTAAACATTAATTATACTAAAATAGAGGTATGTTGAGTGGAATTGTGTTTTTTTAATGTATGAAAACAGGAAATTATTATGTTTTGTTATTATGCAGGAAATAATTTCAACCTCTGCATAAACAGATGAGCATTATACAGTTTATTTGCATTCTTTAACTCCAGAGCTTTAACATTAAGAGCTGTGTGATGAAACATGCATTATATTCAGCAGTTTACATATGTTTGTTGCCTCAATTTAAACATATGCAGCAAATTTCACAATATACATGTTACACTAACTGCCTAGAGTCAGTTTCATTCTTATTGTTCTGTTTTTCACTGGGATTTTACACTCACAGGATTTACATGAGAACAAGGAAACAATCGATTATTGATTTGTAGGATTCTGAAACATCATATATTTTACACGAATAACCCAAAAGTCGTATCTTTACAAGTCTTTTATATTTATATTCTAAATTTCAAGAGTTTTCAGTTCCAGTTAGAAATAGCCGAGCTCGGGGCACAAAGTACCGTGGGGTAAAATGTTAAACAGAGTTTTAAGGTATTTGCTCAGGATTACCCATGGGATGCTTTGAGGTTTTTTACCACAGCTTCGGCAGACGTCTACCTGCCAATTATTGAAAAAGTTTGGTGAAATTTGGATGAGAAACACAGGAGAAACCATTTGTGCAGCATTTGTATTTCTTATTATACATTATATTTTTTTATTTAAAAAAATCTATGAAAGTATGTACGTAAAATCTTATATTGTTGTGATTAACGTCTTCTAGGCTAAAAGATGGAACCATTTTGAAAGATGTAAAAACATACAGTGACTGCAAGCCAGTTTTGAGGAAAACACACCACAGTGGGGTTAGTTGTAATGTAGTGTAAGGTTTAACGTGGTGTAAATAAGCCACACACTGTTGGACACCAATTAAACTGACAAATTAAAATTTTAATGTAATGTTGAGAACTTTTTTATACAAAAAAAAGTTTTTAATAGAAAGAAAATATTTTATTGCTAATAATGCAAATAAATCCATTAACTGAGCAATAAATGCAAAAACTGAGCTCTGTGAAAAGTTTTGTATGTAGGCCTACAGTGAAAAATGTAATATTAGAGACCTAGCTGTGGCGAGTCGGTAATAGTGTCTAAAATGAAACAAAACAATAAACACAATTATCCCAGTCGCAGCATTGTATTAGATTTCATCAAATATGAACAAAACATGTAGAAAACACCTCCACCTTCCATGAAGAAACAGTCACCCGCGGCATTGAGTCCTCCGCCTTCAGAATTGGCCACTACTGAGAACGAAGCTCATAGAATTTTCCCCGAGTGCTGCGGCTAACCGCAATAGTCATAGCAATGTGTCCCTGAGACAGAATTTCTTAAGGCCTCATCTGTATAATAATGCAAATAAACCTTAATATGTTTATTCAATAGATAAATAAATAAACTGTGTGCTATGTAGAATAAAAAAATGGAAATAAGTACTGAGAAAATATACTATTTAAAGTAAACTTGATTTAAAATAATTGTGTGAAATCTGACTTTATAAGCATGTGTTACAGCTAACCCTGTGTCTGTTACAACTTTTCCCGGACATTTGGTAAATAGTAACATTTTTACTCCTGGCACTTTGGCCAATACTGCACTGAAACCATAAGTCCAGCGACTATACTTTCAGGGCTCATTTGTAGGAGAGGCTTGTGTGTTGTTGGTAAAAAAAATATGGTTTGTCTAACCCCATTACTTAGTCCATTATTTGGTCAAAACCAAAAAGTGTTACTTTGTGCCCTGCTCTTCTCTACCTTTTGAATTTGAAACACTCCCTGCATCCTGCTTTTGTTTAGTATTCATTTATGATAAATGCTTTCAGCTGTCTATGTTAATCATTAATACTGTTGAAAACTGAAACTGAACTTTAAGTAGCCACTAATACTGAAACTAAAGGTTAGTCAGAAGAAGTCTTGTGATTTCTTCATAGTCTCAGTAATGATTATCAAGGCTGTCTCTCTCTCTTTCTCCCTCTCTCTTTGCTTCTCTTACGATCTAAGGGGAGGAGCAGTGATTAAGCCAGAAGGAGGCTTTACTCCAGCAGCGTGTCAGATACACACAGTCACAGCAGCACACAGAGCACGAGCGTGAGCTTCGTACTACCAACCTCACATTCAGACCAACATACAGCTGATACTGGCCGTCTCATAAGCTGGATCTATTGACAGAACTCTGATTTCCTTTGGGATTCCCTTCTGCTTTCCCCCCCATGAGGAACCAGCTGAAAATCTATCCTAAAAAGAGTAAGTACTCAGGACTACTTGCACCAGTACCTTTAACTGGTCGCTGTTAATGATTGATTCACGTCTGCGGGGGTGTTTGGTTAGTGTGCAAATGAAAGGGTTTTATTGCGCTCCTGTTAGACGCTTTGGGCAAGTGGCGAGCCAGCATGGGGGGTTTGTTATTTGTTATTGCAAGGGGCTGCTGTGACGGGACGGATCAAGGGGGAGGAAGACAATCCCTCTACTGTAAGACCTTATCTGCAAGGTGATAGCCGGTTGTAACGGATCACGGGACAGGGAGTTCAGCCTGCTTCTGTTTGTGTGCTCGCCTCAAGTGCCTCGGTTTGTTTGGGTTTGGTTTCAAATTATCAGTTTTGTAGGGTGTGTTGGAGTTTGGGTTGGCCGGTGTGTGTGAGCTCTTTGGCAGCTGAGTTGAAGAAGCTTTAGGCTGTGTGTGTGTGTTGATCTGTGGAGTTAGTATCTTCTTTTTTCCATCAGACTGGAGTATGTGTATGTGGCAGGCAGAAGCGGTGGTGTCAGCGTGGAGGAACTTTCCATGAACTCGGGACAGAGCTTTGTGAGTGGAGGGAAAATTTGGAGAGGGAGAAGTGTGAGGATCTCTTTTAGGAGTTGGGTGGGGGGGGGGGGTGTCTTTCGAGATCTGTGAATGGTTCAAGGGCTTGTAGGAGAGTAAGTACTACAGATCTTTGTCAGGAATATTTGTCAAATTTGTACTTCTGTTTTTTTAGTCATTCATGAAGTAGTGACTGTTAATGCATTGCTCACAGCCTCCCACAGACATAAATATGATACCATATCAATGAAATGGGGTACTTCTTGACAGGTGGGTTGGTTTTCACTTTGAACAATATTTTTGATGGAATATTAATTTGAATTACATGGGTTAACTGTAAAAAGAGTCATATTAAGATTAAATTACATCAAAATTTATAATTGGAATAATGATTTATATAATCATATAAAAACTGCAATAAGAGATAGATGACACCAAAATGTAACTCATTATAAGCATTTTTATGAACCTTTAGTTCATCTGTTTGACACAAGATAACATGTTTTAAATGTCAAGAGTATTTTATGGATTTGATTGATTCCTGTCAGCCCAATCATGATATATTGATCCCTGTTGACTTTTTTACATGGATGGAAGCTGTCAAAACATTCTTCAAAGTGTCTTCTTTTGTGTTCTACAGAATACATACACAGCCTCCTACAGAAGTAAATATAAGACCTTATCTGAAGAAATATTTTAGTTGGTGGGTTGTTTTTTTTTGTAAAAAATGTTTTGAATGGAATACCCTGTAAAACCCAAAAAGTTAAGGTAAATCAAACCATTTGTGGAAACTGATTGCAACAAACCATTTAAGTTCAGAAACTAACCCTAATGAGTACTGTGAACTTAATTCATTTGAGCAAATGAAGTAATTTGAGCACAGTAAAGCCCGATAAATGAAGAGAATTCAAACCAACTGAATAAAACCCAATAAGTTAAGGCAACTCAAACTGTTTGAGGAAACCGATTGCTATAAACCCTTTGAGTTAAAAAAAACCCTGATCTATATGAGCACTGTGAACTTACTCCATTTAAGTTGAAGTAATGATATATTTAATTAACTCATTGCCTTCAACGAGTTCAAAACTCTTTTCAAATGAGTAGAATTAACTTTCAGAAAAATTTGAGTTATCTATACTCATTTCATTTGATAAAGTTGACTGTTGGGTTGAATAAATGAAAAACCCTCCCACAAGACAGCATAAAATATGAAATTATTTTATTTTTATTAATTGTTTTAGATTCTTTACACATGGGTGTTTTTTTTTTGTGATTTCAATCCATATGAAATTTCTTCTCATTCAGAACACAAGACTTTTATATATATATATAATATATATATTATTTTTTTGACAAAATATCTCATTCACTATCATAGCATTTTTCATGTGTAGAGAGATTTTTATACTTATGTTTGGAGGTCTAGATGCTATTGCAGGTTTCATGGGCCAAAAAAAAACAACAACCTCCCTGACGTACAGTAAAGCAACCGATCACAGTTTGTTCTCTTCAGCGTCTTGTTTAGGGGTATGAAAAGGTAACATCAATGCCACTACATCAATACAATAACAGACTGACCTTGTGAAACTGGAAAATCTATACCAAAACTACATGTTTTTTTAAACCCAACCTTTAGTGGACAGCTTTTTTCTTCTGTATGATAAGGTTTTGCATCATGATGATTTAACTTTCAAGACATGCAACACACGTCTCACTGAAATCTTGTAGACTTCCTGTAGAATTCATCCAGTTTGACCAATAATGAACAATTTTTTTCAAAATAGCTTCTTTTGTGTTCCACAGAAGGACAAACGTCATACAGGTTTATTGCAGGTTTTGTCCTTTCACCACTGATAGTGAGGTTGTCATACATGACTGTATTTGTATTCACATGAGCGTGTGCAATCAGAGCAGATCTGCACTTTAAATTCATGTCCATTGAGAGCTTTCTTTTCTTTTTAGCCAGCAGCTTGTTGGACAGCTGCATGCTGTAGATAACCACTCCAGTCGGAGGATTGAAGGGAGCGGTAACAAACACAGCAATTTTAACCATCTTCAAAGAGCTGAACCTTCATGCCGTTTACACTGTAGACCTACTTCTCTGTGAAGACATTGAGAGAATGATAATTTTCAGAAAAGTTTTCGGAAAAGTTTGAAGCATTACAAGAATCGTTGAGGTAGAAAAGATGACCTAAAGATCATCAGATTGAGAGCGATGATTGTGCAGTGTTTTTCTTTGGTCTGATCCATAAAGACAGCAGCTGGCAATAGTATTCTGGCTACAGGAGCCTTGACAATGGTCGGCCTGTGTGAGGCTGTCAGAAAGAGTTTAAAGTTTAAGAGCTAGTTGGTAAAATCCAGTGCCTGTTATTTCAATAGTGCACAGCCTGTCTGCAGCTTCTATACGAGTACAGCACCATAACCCTAACATATAAGTGCATTTGAATGAACAGCTGTATTGGTTACCTGACTCTGAAACATTTAGGACATTTGGGAGTTTAAAAACTTCTAAAGGAAGTTTTAACTGCTTTTACTTAGATGTCCTAGGATGATTTTAGATTTTAGGACTTTTTATATGCAAAGCTGGGTCAATTTTGACTTTGATCAACTTCACAAATACTGTACAATTAGATGATGATGATAATAATACAAATAATAATAATAATAATAATAATAATAATAATAATAATAATAATAATTGATTTTATTATTTAATTATTATTATTATTATTATTATTATTATTATTATTATTATTATTATTATTATTATTATTATATACAGTTGAAGTCAGATTTATTAGCCCCCCATTTTATTTTATTATTTTTTTTTTTTTAGGATATTTCCCAAATTATGTTTAACAGAGCAGGGAAACTTTCACAGTATGTCTGATAATATTTTTTTCAGTCTTATTTGTTTTATTTCAACTAGAATTTAAGCAGTTATTAATTTATTAAACACCATTTGAAGAAAAAAATTATTAGCCCCTTTAAGCTATTTTATTTTCAATAGTCTAAAGAACAAACCATTATTATACAATAACTTGCCTAATTACCCTAACCTTAACCTAATTAATTCAGTTAAGCTTTTAAATGTCACTTTAAGCTGTATAGAAGTATCTTGAAAAATATCTAGTCAAATATTATTTACTGTCATCATGGCAAAGGGAAAATAAATCAGTTATTAGAAATGAGTTATTAAAACTATTATGATTAAAAATCTGTTAAAAAATTCTTCTCTCCATTAAACAGAAATTGGGAGACAAATAAACAGGGGGTCTAATAATTCAGGGGGACTAATAATTCTGACTTCAACTGTATATATATATATATATATATATATATATATATATATATATATATATATATTTCCCAAATTATGTTTAGCAGAGCAAGGAAGGTGAATCAATGATACATGAGTGTTTTATGGCTGGGTGTAAAATAAGCATCTCCGTCTTTTCAAGCAATACAGGATTTGAATGTTTCTGGAGTTCAACGTGTAATATTTATTTGGGAAAAACTGTTTTATAATAATTCTTTGTGTCCATATAGACATGTGATGCAAAAATGGGTGAGATTTGTCCTAAAATTGTACAAATGAGGGCTTGAGACGAATAAAAACATTTAAAAAAAAAGAAGAAGAAATGACACAGAAACAAGAAGTTGCATGCTGACTTTGTGGCAGCAACCTGTTACATATTAGGACAAGAGTAAAAACAGCACAGATTCCAACCATATCTCTTTATAGTATCTTTACCGAATATAAAGCACCCCATTCTACGGCCTCCACTCACCACCTGTTTCCCATCCCAGTCATCAGATCCCAAGGCTATTTTCCAGCTTTAGCTTTGATTCCTCCTTGGCTAGCTACTTTATACCTGCCTCTGCATGTGTGTATGTGTCTAAGAGACTTTTTATTTTCTTTAAATTGGACGGATTAAAAAACTGGGTCAGTTATCGACTCTGGTTGTAGAATCAAGGAATGTAAATAAGCACTAGTTGTATTTGCTCCTAGATTTTTCTGGCAAGAGCTCAAACTTTGCAGAGTGTTGCAACACACTCTTGAGGCACAAACAAGAAAACAGACAAGCACAAACTCTTTTTCCATGTCATTAACTTTGACAGTTTATTCGACACTCCCCAACATTCTCCTCCCAAATAAACATTGTATGTTCTTTGAATAAATTTCTTTCTGCGATGCTTAAAACTGTGTAATGACAATTCCCGAACAGAGCGGTATATTGTCCCAGCACCTCTGAAAATATCATTAACCAATATTAATTAGCTGGTATTAGTTGGTCTCCCAACCTGTTCTGAAATAAAAAATAATGCAATGTAATGTGTGTGCCAATTTGGTGGATGGGGATGATTGGGAGGCTCTACCGGTTAAGGGTCAAGACACTGGGGTTACACCCCTTCTCTTTATGAGAAGTGCCATGGGATTTTTAAG